AGTCAATGATCAAGCCTTGAGTTTCTTCTTCTTCTCCCAGCAGCATTCTACTTCCAGTGCTTACTCCTGGTGGATGACTGTCTTGTGGTCTTGAGTTGAAATCTTAGGTTTCAGTTCTAGGTAGAAGAAGAAAATGCTGCCAATCAATCAAATCTAGAAACCAGGAAGCCTGCTTCTAAGCAGATTCACTTCACATTTCCCCTAGACACCATACCCACGTGAGGACCTAGGCAGCAGGACCTGGGTGTCCAGCTGGAAGTTGACTACCTGCCTGTAATGTAGGTCTCAAGATGTAATGCTTCATTGTATTTGGAGTGAAACAAATACTGAAAGGATTAAAAATTCCAATTAGATAGACAGATCACAGAATTTTGTCTTTGTCCTGTAAGTAAAACTAATTATTCAATAAATTTGCATTTAAATTGGACTATGTTATATATAGTCTTGTACTTGTTACTGGTCCTACCATCAAATGGGTATACATTAAGACTCTGAAAGGTTCCATGATTCCAGTCCCTGTATAAAGGGGGTAAATAATGGTAGGATGCCAGGCTTGTGTAAGAATCCCTGTGGACCCTTTCCTCAAAATGTTGATTAGCAGTATGGAGGAAACAGTGTGTGCACAGGTATTTCTGAAACTGTTTCCGCATAAGGGCAGTGTTGCCCCAGATGAACCAAGAAACCTTAGTGCAGCTCTCTGTTCCTGCCTTTCCAATCTGAAAAAACAAAACAAACAAACAAACAAAACCACCAGCACAAAGGAGGAGTCCAGGAGCAGTGTTGACCCACAGAAAAGAAGGCACCAGGCACATGCCTCTCTGCTCCCGCCTTTCCAATCTGAAAAAACAAAACAAACAAACAAACAAAACCACCAGCACAAAGGAGGAGTCCAGGAATTAAGGCAACCCTGCCTTCTTCAGGCAAAGGGAGGAAAAGTGTTCCCCTCTTAGAATTTAGCTTCTATCACCATTTTATATTGATGTCACATCTAGTGGATAAGGACCTACACCAGAACTCCAGCACCAAAGGACAGAAGAAAAAAATAAATAAATAAAACAAACAAGAAGAGAAAAATGAAAGTGCAATCTGAGGCACCCACGTTCTTCATGCATCTTCTCTTTTAAAGAAGTAAGAGTCTAGTCAATGAAGAAATCCTGCATTTCTCCCCCTCTTCAGCCTGCAGAATTCTACCTCCAGTCCTTCTTCATGGTACCCAAGTCTCTTGTGGTCTTGGGGGGCCCATCTCAGCATCCAGTTGTAGTTCAGACATGAAAATGCTGTTAACTCACTGTCTGGATGAGAGCAAATTAGGCGTCAGGAAACTTGGTTCTCAGCCAGACTCACTTGCTCATAGCCCATATTGTGATGGATGTAATAGACCTTGTTTATACAGTGTGATGTGATCTGTAAAGAGGATCTGGGTACTGCTGAAGAATGACCACTCAAGAATCCCAAGCATTTTCAGTAATGAACTAGCTGTGGCCAAAAGCATCATCTTAGAGCTCTTCTCCCACCCTTGCTACCTGAAAATCATCACCCAGAGAAAAGGGTACCAGAAAACACAATTGTTTTGACTTTTCATAAGAACTGCTGAACAATCTAGGTTTTGTTTGTCTACCTGAAACCAAAATGTGTCCTAAATCTACCACTTATCTACCACTTTCAGCAAAAGTGTTCATTTCTCAGAAGTTATATGTACTCCTTGCTTTCTCGAGGGTGCAGTTTTCATTCACCTGGGCATTTCTTCCCAGCACTCTATGTCCTATACCTTGCCACTGCACCAAATCTTCTGTCTCAAGAGATAAAAGAGATACTCCACATGAAGAGAGAGAAGAATGTTCTGGAATTTAAATTCGGTGCCTAGAGATGAAGGTTTCTATAATAATGGATCTCACCTCTGAGGTTCTATAACAGATTCTTCTGTGTTCTGTATTACCACAGATACTGTTTGCAAGGGATCCCATTTTTAAGCTCAATAATCCTCATAGACTAATAGATTTCCATATATACTCTTCATAAGCAATGGGCATTTATTGACAAAAACAGCAAAAAAAAAATTATCCCACAAACCACATCAACATTTTTCAACTATTTTCTTTGGAATTCTTATCAGGTTAGGTTTTGTTTCATTTTATGGGACAGGGTCTTTAAGCCCAGGGGTCTCAAGATCCCAATCTAGTCTAGCATGACTTTGTTTTTCCCACCTGCACCTTCTAGTGCTGGGATTACAGGATGGCTCCACTGGTTATGGAGTGCATAGAATCAAACACAAGGCCTCAAGCATGTTACACATACCCCATTAACACCTTTCAGTGCATAGCCCAAATTTACACTTTTATCACTTGTTGGACCAATACATTTTTTTTTTTTGGTTTTTTCAAGACAAGGTATCTCTGTGTAGCTTTGGAACCTATCCTGAAACTCTCTGTAGACTGGGCTGCCCTCAAACTCACAGAGATCCACCTGTCTCTGCCTCCTAAGTGCTGGGATTAAAGGCGTGCGCCTGCGACGCCGACGCCGCCGCCGCCGCCACCACCACTGGCTTGAACAAATAATTTTAAATAGTTCAGACATGGATTCAGAAAACAAGGAAGTTCCTTTTTAAAGAAAAAATACAGAAATTAAGAGATCACATCAAAATAAGCAATCTCAAGTCATCTACTATTCAATTTGATGCACTCAGGACTAATTAAAAGATTCTTTTTTCACCGGGCGGTGGTGGCGCACACCTTTAATCCCAGCACTCGGGAGGCAGAGCCAGGCGGATCTCTGTGAGTTCGAGGCCAGCCTAGTCTAACAAGTGAGTTCCAGGAAAGGCGCAAAGCTACACAGAGAAACCCTGTCTTGAAAAAAACCAAAAAAAAAAACAAAAAACAAAAAACCAAAGATTCTTTTTTCAAATAATAGATTTAACTTTATTTTATGTGCACTGGTATGACAGTGTCAGATCCCCTGGAACTGGAGTTACAGACAGTTGTAAGCTGCCACATGCGTGCTGGGAATTGAACTGGGGTCCTCTGGAAGATCAGCCAGTGCTATTAACCACTGAGCCATCTCTCCAGCCCAACTAAAAGATTCTTATGGAAAACAGCACAAAAATATTCTAACAGTAACATAACTGCTCTATTAATTATAAAATGTAGAGGGTATGAGCATACAGGTTCTATGGTCTTAGAAGAATTCAAGGAAGCCCCGTATCTAGCACCAGCTTCTCCATGCCTCTCCAGACCTTACTCTGAAGAGAGGGCAGGAAGCTAGAATAACACAATCTGTTTTGAAACTGTTTCCTGATAGTGGCAGTATTGTTCTACATGCTTAAGAAAGCGCCATTTTGTGATGTTTTCTCCCACCCTTTTTGTTTGAAAAAAAAAAAAAAAACACTGAAAGGAAATAGGGCTGCCTTTCATTTTGCTAAGTTGGAAGGGACAAGCTCATAGTTCTGTGTTCTCTGTGAAACCAAATTGTGGCCTCAACCTACCACCTCCACTGTTAATATTTTCTCATGAGTGAAATTCTCCCCTCCATGTTGTAAGTGAGTGTGTTTCCTATCTGTCACCAAGCATTTCAAATCACATTGAATTCTCTACTCTAGTCAGTCAGTTGGATCCTGTCTAGAAATGAAGAGTGAAGTTTGGGCCTTAAAAGAACAGATTCATATTTTGGGATTCTAACCAAGCAAGTGAAAGACCTGTATGATCAAAATTTGGAAGTCTTTGAAGAAAGAAATTGAAGAATATATCAGAGGATTGAAAGATTTCCCATGCTCTTGGAAACATAGGAATAACATAGTAAAATTGGCAATCTTACCAAAAGCAATCTACAGATTCAATGCAATCCCCATCAAAATCCCAACACAATTCTTTACAGACCTTGATAGAAAAATACTCAACTTCATATGAAAAACAAAAAACCTAGGATAGCTAAAACAATCTTGCACAATAAAAGAATTGCCAGAGGTATCAACATCCTGGATTTCAAGCTCTACTACAGACCTATAGTAATAAAAACAGCATGGTATTGGCATAAAAACAGACATGTGGACCAACGCAATTAAATTATAGATCCAGACATATATCCACACTATAGACTCCTGATCTGTGACAAAGAAGCCAAAATTATACAATGGAGTAAAGAAAGCATCTTGAACAAATGGTGCTGGCATAGGTGGATGTCTACATGTAGACAAATGCAAATAGATCATCTATCACCATGGAAAACTCAAGTCCAAGTAGATCAAAAACCTCAACATAAATCCAGTTACAGTGAACATGATAGAAGACAAAGTAAGAAGTAGCCTTGAACACATTGGCACAGGAGACTACTTCCTTAACAGAACACCAATAGCACAGACACTAAGATGACAATTAATAAACAAGGCCTGGTGAAACTGAAAAGCTTCTATAAGGCAAAGGACACTGTCAGCAGGAGAAAGCGGCAGCCTAGAGAAAAAGATCTTCACCAACCCCATATCTAAGAGGGCTGACCTGTAAAATATATAAAGAACTAAAGTAACTAGACATCTAAATACTAAATAATCCAATTAAAAAATGGGGTACTGACCCAAATAGAAAATTCTCAACATAGGCATCTCAAATGACTGAAATACACTTACAGAAATGTTCATCATCCTTAGCCATCAGGTAAATGCAAATCAAAACCACTCTAAGATTCCATCTTACACCTGTCAGAATGGCTAAGATCAAAAACATAAATGACAGCTTATGCTGGAGAGGATGTGGAGCAAGGGGAACTCTCCTCCACTGCTGGTGGGAGTACAAACTTGTACAAGCACTTGGAAAATCAATATGGCGGTTTCTCAGAAAATTGAGAATCAATCTACCTCAAGACCCAGCTATACCATTCTTGGGCATATACCCAAAGAACACTCCATCCTATCATAATGACACTCACTCAACTATGTTCAAAGCAGCTTTATTGGTAATATCCAGAACCTGGAAACAACCTAGATGCCCCTCAGTTGAAGAATAAATGAAGAAAATGTGGTACATTTACACAATGGAGCATCACTCAGCTGTTAAAAACAATGATATCAGGAAATTTGAAGGCAAATACAGAACTAGAAAAAAAAATCATCCTGAATGAGGTAACCCAGACCCAGAAAGACAAATGTGGTATGTACTCACTCATAAGTAGATATTAACTGTAAGTAAAAGATAACCATGCTACAATACACAAACCCAGAGAAGCTAGGTAATAAAGAGCACTCAAGGGGAGATGCTCAGATCTCCCTGAAAAGGGGTAATAGAAGAGATTTCCTGGGTGGACTGGGGGTGGGTGGGGATGAAGACTTGAGGAATTGGGTTGGGGGGTGATTGGAGAGGGAGAGTACTGAAAGAGATGATTGGAAAGGAGGGGTGTTTCAGGGTCAGATAGAAACCTAATGCAAGGGAAACTCCAATGAATCTACAAGGATGATCCCAGCTAAGGCTCTTCGCAATAGTGGCCATCTCCTGTGATCAGATTGGTGTTGACTATCCCAATTGTAGTCAGAGAGCCTTCATCCAGTAACTGATGGAAACAAATGCAGAAATCCACAGCCAAATATTAGTCAGAACTCAGGGAATCCTGCTGAAGAGAGTGAGGAAGGATTGTAGAAGCCAGAAGGGTCAAGGACATCACAAGAAAATCAACAGAAACAATTGACCTGGCTCATACGAACTTACAGCGTCTGAAGCAATAACCAGGGAGTCTTCATGGGATTGACCTAAGCCCTCTACATATATGTGACAGTTGTGTAGATTGGTCTACTTGTGGAACTCCTAATAGTGGGAGTGTTATACCTGTTTCATGAAACCCCCAGAGACCACCAAGGAGCCGGTTTCCAATGCAAGCTCATAAGGGTCCTTTTATTCCAGTTCAACTTGGGCCGCCGCATGGCAGATGGAAGGAAATGTGGTGAAGGCCACAAGCCCAGGTGTAGAGGGCTTTTATAGGGAAAAACCACAAGTCGGGAATTGGCAACTTGGGATTGAGTAGAAAGGGCAAGGTGATTTTTGAAACTATTAGTCTAGACTTTGGGCGCGAAACCACAACCCTTAGAACAGGATTATCTGGACTGCTCAGCAGGATTATCTAGATATCTCCAAGGGCCATAAACCACACACAGGATCTTGTTACATTTTCCTTTCCTGTATAAACAGCAGACAGGATGTCTGCAGGAAGATACTGCTCTGTACCCGTTCAGGATATCATGGCATATTCCTGAGCCTGTAAGGTTAAGTCTAGGCCTCCACAGGAGCACAGGTTGTCCCTAAGGCTTTGGCTGGCTCTTAGGAACCTAGTCCTCATACTGGACTGCCTTACCCAGCCTTAATACAAGGGAAAGTACATAGTCTAACTGCAACTTGATAGTCCATGCTTTGGTGATATCCATGAGAGGCCTGTACTTTTCTTAAGAAAAAGAGAGGAGTGGACTAAGGGGATGGTGGGTAAAGGGGAAGTGAAAGGAGATAATGGTAGGAGAGGAAGGAGGGGAAACTGATGTCAGTATGTAAAATCAATAAAAAAAAAAAAAAAGGAACAGATTCAGGCAACAAGTGACTACTTACCCGGCTGTCCTCACATTTGAGCCTATAGTGCGCCTCCATTTCTTGTATTCTGGGTCAAACTGTTGACAACCTTTTGTCTGAAGACCTAAGAAGTGGCAAAGACAGCTAACATCCTTGTCACTACTTTGTGAACTGTGGTCTCCCCGCATATGGTATGAATATCCATTAGAAGACAGAGGCCTGGCTCATCCTTCAGGTCTCCATTTAAAATGGAAAGAAAACGTATTCCTTCGCTATAAAGTATTTTTATTTTGAATTGAAAATTAATTTGCTTACACACTATATTCTGATCGTAGTTTCCCATTGCCCATCTACTCCCAGATCCCCCCACTTCTACACCCATCCAACTCCAGCCCTTCTTTCTTTCTCTCTTTAAAAAACAAAGAAGAGCCTGTATGGTGACTCATTCCTTTAATCTCAGCATTCAGGATGCAGAGCAGGAAGATCTTTGTGAGTTCTAGGACAGCCTAGTCTACATAGTGAGGTCTAGGACAGCCAGAACTAGGGGGATCCTATCTCAAAGGAAAAAAAAAAAAAAAAAAAAAAAAA